CTGGGATTATAGGCACGCACCACCATGCCCAGCTGAATTTTTGTATTTTTAATAGAGACGGGGTTTCACCATGTTGACCAGGATGGTCTCGATCTCTTGACCTCGTGATCCACCCGCCTCGGCCTCCCAAAGTGCTGGGATTACAGGCGTGAGCCATTGCGCCCGACCATGTAGCCTGGAACTCTTGGGCTCAAGTGATTCTCCCACCTCAGCCTCCTGAGTAGGTGGACTTACAGGCGCCTACTACCATGCCTGGCTAATTTATTTTTATTTTTTGTAGAGATGGGGTCTGACTATGTTGCCCTGGCTGGTCTTGAACTTCTGGCCTCAAGCAATCCTTGTGCCTTGGCCTCCCAAAGTGCTGGGATTACAGGCCTGAGCCACTGTGCCTGGCTGTGTTTTTTAAAAAAATTTTTTAAGATAATTATTTTATTTATTTAATTTTATTTATTTGAGATGCGGTCTTGCCCTGTCCCCCAGGCTGGAGTGCAGTGGTGCAATTGTGACTCATTGCAGCCTTGACCTCCTGGGCTCAAGCCAAGCCATCTTCTCGCCCCAGCCTCCCGAGCAGCTGGGACTGCAGGTGTGCACCACCACACCTGGCTAATTTATTTTTATTTTTTTTTGTAGAGACAAGGTCTCCCTATGTTGCCCAGGCTGATCTTGACCTCCTGGGCTCAAGCAATCCTCCCACCTTGGCCTCCCAAAGTGCTGGGATTATAGACATGAGCCACCATGCCCAGCCTTTTAAAAAATTTCTATCAACTTCTTTAGTTGTTTTTTGGGAGAGGGCCACCCAGGGTGTCCATCCTGCTGTAAAGGGGTGCTGACCTCATCTTCAGCCTTGCTGGTTATGGGCTAGAGCTTCCTCAGGGGATTCTGAAGCTAGTTATGTGGCCTTGTGTAACATATGCAGCGGGGCGGAGGGTACTGTTTGAGGCACTTCCAGCAGCCTGTGTGGCCTGTCCTTGTGCTGTCATGTGCCCAGTGGGACAGGCGGGACTTGGTGGGCCGGGGCAGGCAGGGGTGGTGCCAGTGGCCTCTCTCTGGGTGGTGGCTCCCCACATTGGCTCACTTCTTGGTACTCTGTTTTCCACAAAAGGGCTAGGGGACTGAGCACAGGGCTCTGCAGCCTGAGGGCAGGCCAGGGATCCAGGCTGAGCTGAGGTCTTCTGGCGTGAACCCCCAGGAGCCCGAGAATGTCTTGGGTAGGGACCTGTGGTCTTTGGGCTCCAACCACTGCCCGAGCCCTGCTTCATCCGTCGGGACAGTCCCTGCAGGTGTGGGCGGGTTTGCGCCAGTGGGACATTTGCAGGTCTGCCCCTGCCTTCCTTAAGTGGGGTGTCCATGGACCTCTGTGCCAGCTGCATCTGCCCACTGGTCCCCACGCCCAGAGGAGCGCTCTGGACCCCCTCGGTGGGGAGAGCCCTGGGGCCTGCCGAGCTACCTCAGCAGGGGCGCCAACGGGCAGATGCTGTACCATTTGTGCCCTGGGGCTTTCAGGGGTGTTTCTGGCCTCTCTGGAAAGGCTATTAGAATTACACAAATTGTGTCCGACTGTCTTTCATTTTTCAAAGAATGTGGCTCACTTTGACATCTGGAAGAGCAGGCAGAAGGCAAAGTTGTGCTCTGTGGATTCAGTTTCCTGTTCCTTTGCCTCCGGGAAGACAGGGCTGGGGCTGGGCCGGGGCCACTTCGAGGACGGCTGGGTGCACACGGGCCTTGCGCAAGGGCAGCCTCCACTCCACAGCCTGGGGCCAGGCGAGATAGGAGAACATGATGATTCTCAATTAGATTAATAAAGAATAATTAGATGTCATAAATCAAGCAATCCTAGGATATTGTCATGGGAAAAATATGTAGCTAGAATTAATTAGTTTTCAAATAAAGCGTTTATTTTAATTGCTTGAAATGATGGAGCCCTTAATTGCCGATGCATCATTTTGGCCTGTGTGTTTTGGTTGTTGGAACAACGTGACGGGTTTGTTCCCTGAAGTTCTGGGGAAACAATGGAAGAGAATTGATTTCATCATCTGAGAATGAGCCTTCTGCCGGTGAGGTTCTGGAAACTCCCGCCAGGCCCTAGGCAGGTGGCAAGTGGGGGCCGGGCTTCAGCTGGCACCGCCTGAGGCCTCTGTGCTGTCTGTGTATGCTATTCTCTGTGCTGTGTGTGCATGTGTGTACACATGCATGAGTGCCTGTGCCTGAGTGTGAGTCTGCATGTGTATGAGTATATAGGTGTGAGCGTGTGCCTGTGTGTGTGCCTGTGTGTGAGCATGTGTGTGTGCATGTGTGTGTGAGCATGTGTGTGTGCATATGAGTGTGTGAGCGTGTGTGTACACATGTATGAGTGCCTGTGCCTGAGTGTGAGTCTGCGTGTGTATGAGTATATAGGTGTGAGCGTGCCTGTGTGTGTGCCTATGTGTGAGCATGTGTGTATGTGCATGTCTGTGCGCATGTGTGTGAGCGTGTATGTACACATGCATGAGTGCCTGTGCCTGAGTGTGAGTCTGCGTGTATATGAGTATATAGGTGTGAGCGTGTGGCTGTGTGTGCCTGTGTGAGCGTGTGCGTGCATGTGTGTGTGCACGTGTGTGTGCACGTGTGTGCGCATATGAGTGTGTGAGCGTGTGTGCATGTGTGTGTTCGAGTGTGAGCATGTGTGTGTGCATATGAGTGTGTGAGCATGTATGTACACATGTATGAGCACCTGTGCCTGAGTGTGAGCCTGCCTGTGTATGAGTATATAGGTGTGAGCATGTGCCTATGTGAGCATGTGTGTGCATGTGTGTGTGCACATATGAGTGAGCGTGTGTGTGCATGTGTGTGTGCATGAGTGTGAGCATGTGTGTGTGCATGAGTGTGTGAGCATGTGTGTGTGCATGAGTGTGAGCATGTGTGTGCATGAGTGTGTGAGCCTGCCTTTCTTACCTGGCAGGCATAGCACAGGTAGGCGGCGGCTTCTGAGAACTGTCCTCCAGGCCAGCCCACTGAGGGCAGCTGTTCCAGCCCCTGTCCGGCCGCATCTTCAGGAGGCTTTCCCGTCACAGGCTGGAGCAGGGGCCGTGGGTCTTGGGAGCAGTGTGGCGTCAGGTCTTTCCGCCTGCCCTGGAAGCTACCCTCAAGCTTGGGCACGATCAGTTGGCTTTTGGTCACAGGTGAGAGAGGCTGAAACCCACCTCATTCCCCTCAAAAAAGAAAAGGAAAAATGGGAGTTGGCAGTTAGTAAAGCACATCCCAGGGTACTCTGCATTGCCTTCGGAACCCCCTGAGAGGGGCAGGATAGGGAGGTCATGGCCGCCTGAGGTCTCTCGCCAGGCAGAGTGTACCTGCGCCTGGAGTCCCTGCCCAGCCCCTCCGAGGCCTCTTTCCCTCCCCAGTGCAGCCCGCGCAGGCCCTGGCTGCTGTCTACCCTCCACTCTGCAGGACGCCTTGGCAGGGGCATTTCTCAGGTGTTTTGAACCTTTGTCCCAGTTGGGCTGCCGCTGCCTCTCCCAAAGAGAGTAAGGAGCGGGCCAGTGTGTGCGGAGGTGAGGGACAGGGCTTGCGGCTGCAGGGGCACCTGGGACAGCTGCCTCCAGATGGCCACAGCACTCCTGCCTCTGCACCTGCATCCCCGTCCGCCTCCTACCCAGCCCCTTCTGGAAGAGTCCTTCCCGCCTCCCCTGCATTACTGCCCCCGGTTCCTCTGCTGGCTGTGGCCGCCACGAGCCATCCTCTCTCCCCTGTGTGCAGGCTGCAGGCAGCTTGGCTGGGGCCTGTCCCACTGTCCCAGAGCCCAGTGGAAGAGGCCTCTTGTGACAGGCTGCCCCAGCCACCCAGCGGTCTGCTCCTGGCCTTGCCCTCAGCACCCTCAGCCCAGCTCAGGGCATGCAGGCAGACAGACCTGCAGCTGGTTGCTTCTGGCTCCAGGGCCACCCCACAGAGCAGCCAGCTGTGGGGCTGAGGTGGGGGTGAGAGATCCTGCAGGTCTGAGTGGTTGGGTGGGCTCAGCAGGGATCTGGAAGCCTCTCTGGGTGGGTGGTGGCCTGGCAGACCCCCCCAACAGGCCCAGTGGTCTGGGGAGCAGGGTTCATCAGTGACCACAGCTCTCCCAAGGAGCCGCATGGGGACTCTGCCCTGGCCACTCTGCCCTTCAGTGGTGCCACGAGGCCCTAGAGCACTTCAGGCCTCAGCACCAGAGGCCTGGCACAGCTTAGCGACTATTCTCTGCCTCAGTTTCCCCAAGAGTAAAAGGGGTGCTACTGCTGCCTCACAGGGTGGTGATAGCAGGTAGAAATTGTGGCGGGGCAGGCCCAGGATCCAGCAGATGTGAGGGGAAGGCTCTTCCTAGCAGCCCCCCTGGGACCCCACATGCTTCCTTTTCCTCAATCCCTGAGCTGGCCTGGGCACAGGTGGCAGCAGGGAAGAGAGAAGAAGGGAGACTGGATTTGCCCATGGGGAGGGAGGGTGGCTCCCAAGAGAGACACTGGAGTGAGGCCCGGACAGAGGGCGGGACTCAGCCAAGCCCAGTGGCAGGACTGGCAGTCCCGGCATGCAGATGGCCAGAGTGGGAAAGCGCCAGTGTGGCCACTGGGATCTGGGGAGCTGGAGGGCACAGCCAGTGGTGGACAGGAAGCCCTGGAGGCCAGGGTGGCCAAGGGAATGTTGGAGGCTGCTGTGCCCACCCAGGGCTGGCTTAGGTGGGGCCCAATTGGGTGTACCAGGGAGGTGCAGAGGCCAACAGGCATGGTGCGGGGAGGGCTGGCATCCGTGGGACTCCCAGATTCCCCAGCATTGGGGAAAGGGTGAGCTCTGTGCTCTCTGTTGGGCTCACTGCTGTGCAAGGAACTGGTAATCCCTGTTCGTCAATGTCTGGGGAGCAGGGGCGCCTCTCCCTGGAGGGGCAGAGGCCAGGGACACTGAGCAGGGTCAGTGTCTGAAGCACCCCTGTGCCTGAGCAGCCTTCCTAGAGGATGGAGTTGGGATGCAGTCACTCACACGCCTCCCTTGGTGCCCAGGTGACGGCATCCTGCCCAGCATGGCAGCCCCCTGCCCTCTGCCACCACCAGACCCCCAGTTTGTCCTCCGAGGCACCCAGTCGCCGGTGCACGCGCTGCACTTCTGTGAAGGAGGCCAGGCTCAGGGGCACCCGCTCCTCTTCTCAGGGTGAGTAGCTGCAGCCCCAGCCCCAGGCTGCCTAGGGACAATTCAGGAGGTTGTGGGCTAGCAAGGAGCCAGCACTCATTTGAGGGTGCTGGCCAAGGGGCATGGACTGCCCATCATCCAGGCCCGCTGAACTTTCAGCACCCACAAGACAGACATACTATCCCTTAGGGGAGGCAGGGATACGCACACTCTTTGTTACAGGTGCAGGAGCAGGTGAGACCACCCAGCGTGCATTACTGTGGCATGGCTCCCCCCACTTCCAGAGAAGCAGATCTGCCTGAGTTACCCTCAGACGCTCCTGAGGGTCCCCCACTGCCCTCTCTGGGAGAGGAGTGCTTTGCCAGATTGGCCCTTAGTTCATATTTAGAGCTTAGATGGAGGCTTTTCAGCTCTCCCAGCCTAGATGCCCACATCCTGCAATGTGGCCTCCAGGCTGGCCCCAGAGCGTTCAGCACGCCCTCCTGTCCCCTAACGCCCTGCTTGGCTTGTCTGAAACAGGTCTCAGAGTGGCCTGGTGCACATCTGGAGCCTGCAGATGCGGAGAGCACTCGCCACCCTGGATGGCCACGGGGGCCAGTGTGTGACCTGGCTGCAGACACTGCCCCAGGAGCACCAGCTCCTCAGGTGGGTCTCCGAGGTATGGGAGCCAGGTGTGGCCTTTGAGGGAGCCAGGAACTCTCTGACGGAGGCCCTCATGCCCCCCCCCACCGAGTGGCAGAATGGGGTGGGGGGACCAGAAGGGGCCAGCAGCAAGGGCAGGATGTGCAGAACCAGCCCCTCGTCGCGGGGAGGCAGGCAGGTCGGCCTCTGCGTCGCCATCATCGCCACTGGGCCCTTCATGCTCCGAGCTGGAGCCAGGAGGTGCTGGCTGAGGAGGCTAGAGCTCCAGGGGCTGGTGACATCTCAGGTGAGCCCAGGCACAAGTTGGTGGGAGGGCCTTCACGAGGGCATTGGGTCATGGCTTGGGAGACTGGGCAGGGGTGAGGGCATTTGCTGAGGGGAGGGGAATGGGATGAAGTAGGCTCGGAGATGCAGGCAGTAGTCCCAAGGAGGGCCTCCCCGTCTGCTGCCCATGTTGCCTGAGCCATGTGCCTTGAGCATGGCAGGTCACACCTGGTGCCGGTAGAGGCCCTGGGAGCTGGGAGTTCTGGCAGCTGAGCCCTGGCCGTGTGTCTCTTCACTAGGTTGTGACAATGCACCTGACTCTTCCCAAGGGGACCCGGCCTCTGATGTTGTACCACATGTGGCTCTGTGGCCGGCAAGATGGTGGCTGAGTGGCCAGGGGTAGGGCGTGGGGCTTGGGCGTGTAGTACTGTCCCACAGCGGCGTGCTTCCGCATTTCTGAAGCGGGTGTGGTAGTGAGGGCCATCTCCCCACCCGATCCACCCTGCAGTGTCTCCTGTGGTTTCTGTCTGTGCAGCCTCCAACCCTAGGGCCCTGAGCTCACGTGTGTGTTCTGTCCCCTACACGTCACTTGGGCATCACTTGTCCAGACTGTGCCACAGCAGGAAAGGACCACAGAGGTAGCCTGTCCCCGTCGGTACTCAGACCCACTGTTCTAGCCTCTGCTTACTGTAAGGGCAGGTTTCTGGGTGCTCCCACGGTTCACGAGCACTTAGCCCATCCCGAGACAGTGTGACCCTGCCCTTAGTGACTGTGGTGCTATCTGGTCGGGTGCCTGCTGGGAAGACCCTAGTAATAGGGATGGCTGTGTCCCCATTGCAGTGTCAGCCTGTGCCTTCAGCAGAGCTTGCCCTGGCCAGGGGTCCCCATTGAGTCCAGGCCCCTCCTCAGAGGAGCCTGTGCCTCCATCCCGTGGGCCCAGGTTTCAGTGTCACCATAACCCCTCTGCAGCTTGGCATGCCATGACCATGGCACCATCCTCCTACATGGGTGGCAGAGCCTCATCCTAAGGTCACTCAGCTCACAGGGCCCCACTCCACATGCTGGTGTAGCTGCTGGGTGAGCAGGAGGTGGCAGGGGAACAAGAGGGCCTGGCACTCCTAGTGGGGAGGACCCCATGTGCCAAGGCCATGGAGGGCTATGAGTGTGGTGAGGGACAGTGGGGCTGGGTGCTGGGCAGCTGGCAGCAGAGCAGGCAGGGGCAGCCCCCAGGGATTAGCCCAGGACAGTTTCTGACTCCACTCCCACGACGTCGTGGAGGTGATGGGGCTGGGACACCAGGCCAGAGGTGGGTCAGCAAGCAGCAGGCAGGGGCAGGCTCGTGAGGGGCTTCCCTGCTTCCCATGGGGAGTAGGAGGGACAGGGCATGGCAGGTCAGGGAAGGCCTGCAGGGGGTTAGCAACATGTCCTCCTTTGGGCCGCCTGGCTTCTGGAGCAGGCTACTGTCCTTGATCACAGTGACATCTGCCCCTGTGTGGGGATCGCTGTCATCAGCCCAGGAATCCTGAGTGTGGGCCTGCTGCTGTCCTGAGATTTGCTGTGCTTCATATTCGGAGAACTCCGTGACACCGCCGTCACAGCCCAGAACTTCAGAAGGACTTGGTGCCTGGGACGTGGCACTGTGGAGTCCAGTCCCTGGAGAATGAGGCCTGTCTGGCCCCCACCAGTCTGCAAAACACGTCTCTGCCAGACTCATGTGGTGCCTACCACCTGGGAGACGGCTGCAGGTGACAGAGGCACCAGGGTTGTCCTGGAAAGCAGAGGCCCTGGGCCCATGTGCTTGCAGAACCCTGCGTGGTCAGCCTGCGTCCTGGCCAAGCAGGCCCAGATGCCTCACCGCTGGTGCAGGGGCCTCAGTGTGGGTTTGGTCTTTGATTGTCAGAGTAGACTTCATTTCCAGAACCCACCAAGCCACGTACACCAGGAGCTGCTGTTTGTGAGTGTCCTTCTGAGCTTTCAGTCACCGTGTAGCCCTTGGTGGTCCCTTGCATAGGGGCCTTGTGGTACTAGGCTGCCCTGCAGACAGGAGCTGTGCCGAGCCTGGTGGGCAGTCTGGGAGCTAGGGTTCGGGGGCGTCTCCCCTTCCTGCTGGGATGGTGCTGCCGTGGCCAGTTCCCAGGCAGAGCCAGCCACAGGTCGGGGGTCTGTGGATGGAGACCGCAGGTGTGAAGTACCAGGTGCGTTTGCACTGTACTGCAGCCTGTGGGCTGCCGCCCGGTCTGTGCTCAGCTGTGTTTGGAAGCCAAGTCTCTCCAAGTGGCCCTTGAAGGGAGTGGTGGCTTTCATGTCAATGGGAGGTGGGAGGACACCCTCAGCCTCCCGCATGCCAGGGACACACCTGTGCCCTCGACAGCCACCTCAGCAGGGCTTTTTTTTAAGCCTTTTTTCTTGTGAAGTATAGCGTACTCACAGAAGAGTGAAGACAAGTGCCCAGAGCGTTGTATTGTGGCTGAGTGAGCACCTGAGCAACCACCTCCCAGTCAAGAAGTGGAGCGCAGGGCCCCCAAGCCTCTGAACCCCCCAGCAGCTGCCACCCGGTCTCCCCAGAGCTGGTGTCCCCCGCCCCAGGAGGCAGCCCCTCACGCCTCGTTTTTGCTTTATTTCTGAATGTATGTCTTTTTAAAGCATCGTTTTGTCTTCTTTTTGTTTTGAAAGGGTAGAGACATAAGGAACAGCTTCCGTGTGATTCTCTCACTCAGCTTATCTCCCTGTGTGGCTTGGAGGTGCAGTCAGCTGTCGCTTTTTTTTTTTTTTTTTTTTTTGAGACGGAGTCTTGCTCTGTCGCCAGGCTGGAGCACAGTGGCACAATCTCAGCTCACTGCAACCTCTGCCTCCCCGGTTCAAGCGATTCTTCCGCCTCAGCCTCCCGAGTAGCTGGGACTACAGGTGCATGCCAAACGCCCAGCTCATTTTTTATTTTTTTTTTTAGTAGAGACGAGGTTTCACCATGTTGGCCAGGATGGTCTCGATCTCTTGACCTCATGATCCACCCGCCTCGGCCTCCCAAAGTGCTGGGATTACAGGCGTGCGCCATGGTGCCCGGCCTAGCTATCGCTTTTTCTGCGTGCTATTCCACCGGGTGTGTGGCCACGTTACTTGCCCATGCTCCTGTTGGTGGAGATCTGGGTGCCCCATTGGAGCTGGCATGATGCAGATGCTAGGAACAGTCCTGCCCGGGTCTCCCAATGCCCAGGTGCATAGCGTCTGCGGGCAGGAGCCCCGAACCCAGAGGTGGGACATCTGCACTGCAGCATGTGTGCGCTGTGGACTTACCTGAGTACGCCAGGTTCCTGCTCGTGGGGTGCCAGCCTACACCTCCCACTAGGCAGGAGCTCCCTGCCCTCTGCTGTTTGTGGGCCACAGGCGCATCTGAGCACGGTCCAGTTTGCATTTTCTGATCTCTCAGTGATGGGGCCTCTTCTGTGTGTTTGTTGGCCACTTGGATAAACCCTCTCTTAGATGCCTCGTTGATCTCTTGCCCTTTTCTCTGCTGGACTGACTTCCTTTTTCTTGCTGATGTGTGGACCTTCTTTCTGTATTGTAGATGTGATGGGTATGTTTATGTCACAACTGATTTCTCCAACATGGTGGCTTGCATTCTTCACTCTCCTAATGGTGTCTTTTTGTTTTGTTTTTTGAGATGGAATTTCACTCTTGTTCAGGCTGGAGTGCCATGATCTTGGCTTACTGCAACCTCTGCCTCCTGGGTTCAGGCAATTCTCCTGCCTCAGCCTCCTGAGTAGCTGAGATTATAGGCACCCACCACCATACCCAGCTAATTTTTTGTATTTTTATAGAGACAAGGTTTCACCATGTTGGCCAGGCTGGTCTCGAACTCCTGACCAGAGGTGATCTGCCCACCTTAGCCTCCCAAAGTGCTGGGATTACAGGCTTGAGCCACCATGCCCGGCCCCTAATGGTGTCTTCAGTGAACAGAGGTTACTGATTTTAATGGAGTCGATTGGAGTCTGCCCAGCTTTCCCCTGATGGGGAGTGCCTTAGTGTCTTGCAGGGAGTCCCCGTCTGAGGTCCAAGAGACCTCTGTGTCTCTCAGGAGCTTTGCTGTTGTCCCTTGTGGATCTGTGGTTCAGCTGGAATTCACTGCAGTGTGCAGTGAAGGCCCTGTGTTTCCATGTGGATACCCGCCTTCCCCCTCTCAGTGCCCCTCGGATGGGGCAGGAAGGGGTGCCAAGCAGTCAAAGAAACAGGGTGAGGGGAGTGGTGTGGTAGCGGCAGCCTGGGAGGCCAGAAGGTTGGTGAGAGCAGGCAGGCAGCTGAGCACGTCAGTGAACATCTCCAGAACGGAGGCCAGGGTTCTCCCTGTCTAGAGCGGAAGGTGAGAAAGACCCTGAGGGGTTGGACTGCACATGGGGTCTCAGCACAGGGTGCAGAAATAGCTGCCTGGGCGGCAGGCGTGTGTGACAGTGATTGTGTGTGCTACGTGTTTGTGTGTGTGGTTTGTATATGTATAATTTTGTGTGTGTGTGGTACAGGTAGGTGTGTGTAAAGTTTGTGTATGTATATTGTGTGTGTGTGAGCTGCCTGTGTGGTGTATGTGGTGGGGTGTCTCAGTGGCGTGTGTGAGGTACCTGGGTAGTATGTATGTATGTGAGGCTTGTGTATATATGATGTATGTATGTGAAGTCTGTGTGGTGTGTGTGTATATGAGGTTTGTATGTATAGTGTCTGCTATGTGTGTTTGTGAGGTTTGTGTATGTATGTTGTGTGTGTGTGTGAAGTGTCTGGTGTGTGTGTGAGGTTTGTATACATATATTGTGCCTGTGTGAGGTGTGTGTGGTGTGTATGAGATATTTGTATACGTATGTTGTGTGTGTGTATCTGTAGTGTGTGCATGTTGAGGTTTTTGTATGTAGTGTGTGTGAGGTGTCCGTGTGGTGCGTGTGTGTGAGGTTTGTATGTATATTGCATGAGTGAGGTTTGTGTAAGTTGTGTGCATGTGAGGTGCCTGTGTGGCGTGTATGAATGTGAAGTGTGTAAGAAGTGTGTGTGTATGTGTGGTATGTGACTGTATGTTGTGTGCATGTGTGCAAGGTGTGTGTGCGTTCCCTCACCCACGTGCAGAGGGGCCTGGCGGCCAGGACACACTGTAGCAGTGAGCAGGCGGACACCCAGGTCCTGCCTTCGGAATGCCTGTGTGTCCGGCGGAGTGAGGGTTCTGGGGAGATGGCAGATTCTAGGCCTGGGCATCTCACAGATGGCCACTTGTCAGAGGACTCTGAGCCAGCCTGCAGGGACTCCCATTGGCAGGTAAAGTTTGACATCAGTTTGGCAGGTTCTCCAAAACCCCAGTGGAGATTTGGATAGGGACTGAGTTGCCCAGATCGGCCTTTGTGGTGCTGAGTTCTCTGTGGCGTGGACGCTCACACTGCATGGCCCTCCTGGCAGAGCGTGGGTGCGTGGTAATAACAGGAACCCAGGCTTTGCTTCAGTTTCTGTTGTTTGCCCACCAGTGACCTTTCTACTCCAGGATCCTCTGAGCCATCACGTCTCCCTAGCCCCTTCAGCTGTGTGATCATTTATTTTTCTGACCTCAACATTTTGTCTTTTTTTTTTTTTTTGAGGCAGGGTCTTGCTTTGCCACCCTGGCTGGAGTGCAGTGGTGTAACCACAGCTCACTGCCGCCTCTATCTCCCAGGGTCAAGCAATCCTCCTACCTCAACCCTCTGAGTAGCTGGGGCTTCCGGCCCATGCCATCATGCTTGGCTTTTTTTTTTTTTTTTGGAGACAGAATCTTACTCTGTCACCCAGGCTGGAGTGAAGTGGCACAGTCTCGGCTCACTGCAACCTCTACCTTCTGGGTTCAAGCGATTCTCCTGCCTCAGCCTCCTGAGTAGCTGGGATTACAGGCACACACTGCATGCCTAGCTAATTTTTGTATTTTTAGTAGAGACAGGGTTTCACCATGTTGGTCAGGCTGGTCTCGAACTCCTGACCTCATGATCCACCCACCTTGGCCTCCCAAAGTGCTGGGATTATAGGTGTGAGCCACCACACCCAGCCTACTTGGCTAATTTAAAAAAATTTTTTTGTAGAGATGGAGTCTCACTATGTCACCCAAGCTGGTTTTAAACTCCTGGGTTCAAGCAGTCCTTCCTCTGCTTTCCAGAGTACTGGGATTACGGGCCTGAGCTACTGCACCTAACTGATACTTTGAAGAGTACTAACCAGGTGTTTTGTGGAATGCCCCTCAGATTGGGTTTGTCTGATATCTTCTCAGGATAAGACTGGGGTGAGGGTTTTGGGAAGAAACCCACAGAGGTGAGTGCCCTTCTCATCCTGTCATCCCGGAGTCCATGCTGAACACCTAAGTCCATGACAGCCCATGGCTTGGCGAGATCAACCCTGGTCACTGGGGCAGGAAGTGTCTGCCTGACTCCACTGTCAAGGTGCAGCTTTTGCTTACTGAGTTGCATAGAAGTGAGTCACTAGCCGCAGTCCACACGCAAAGGGAAAATGGAGCTCCACCTCCTGGGGGGAGGAGCCAAGTGTGGCCCTGTGTTAAAACCACTGCAGTCATTACTAACATCTGGGGAGTGTAGTTACAGCTACTCAGGAGGCCGAGGTGGGAGGATCGTTTCAGCTAAGGAGTTAAGACCAGCCTGGGCCACGTGGTGAGACCCTTACACTTGTGCCGCCGATTTTAGCATCCATCTGTGGACTCTGCCTATACTGGTTATTACTGGGTGTTCTCATTTCCCTCATCCCTCTCAGCCTTGGCAGATTTCTACTTTAATTGGAACTTAGGAAGCTGAAAGGAAGGTTTATTCCTTCTTCCCAGTACATAATACACACTCACTCATGAGGATGGGCTCGTGGAGATTTACTTCATTCTTTGGGCTAAAATCTAATACCACCATGATTTATTTGATTTCTCAGATTGTTCCAGCCTCAGAGCCCATGTCCTTCTGCTATGTCCAATCCTTTTTTATTTTTATTTAATTTTTTGAGACAGAGTGTCCTCTGTTGCCCGGGCTGGAGTGCAGTGGTGTAATCTCGGCTCACTGCAGCTTCCACCTCCCAGGCTCAAGCAATCCTCCCACCTCAGCCTCCTGAGTAGCTGGGACTACAGGCCTGTACCACCATGCCCAGCCAATTTTTGTGTCTTTTGTAGAAACGGGATTCTCACCACGTTGCCCTGCCCATTATGGAACTCCTGGGCTTAAGCAGTCCTCCTACTTTGGCCTCCCAAAGTGCTGGGATTATAGGTGTGAGCCACCGCACCCAGTCTGTATTTTATTTTTATTTTTTTATCGAGACAGAGTCTTGCTTTGTTGCCCAGGCTGGAGTGCAATGGCACAATCTTGGCTCATCATAACCTCTGCTTCCCAGGTTCAAATAATTCTCATGCCTCAGCCTCCCGAGTAGCTGGGATTACAGGCACACACCGTGATACCCAGCTAAATTTTTTGTTTTTAGTAGAGATGGGATTTCACCATGTTGGCCAGGCTGGTCTCGACCTTCTGACCTCAGGAGTCCGGCCTCAGCCTCCCACACTGCTGAGATACAGGAGCGAGCCACTGTGCCCCGCCTTATTTTATTTTTGAAGCATTTCTCAGTGCCTGGCACTGCAGGATGCTTGAGACTCATCTTGGTTTTCCTCCCCTCTGCCCTAGACTCAGCCATTTCTCCAGAACCCTGGTTCCTGTTTTTGAACCGGATGTGTAAGAAACCAAGACCTGGGGTTAGGTGTGTTCATTGCTTCTCAGCAGACGGCGCTGGGAGATGCCTGGGTGCACACTCACCTGTGCTTACACACCCATCTGTACTCATTTCTGTCTGTGCATCTGACCAGACACACGTCGTTTATACTGACTATATGATTCTTCTTCTTTTTTTTTTTTTGAGACGGAGTCTTGCTCTGTCACCAGACTAGAGTGCAGTGGTGCAATCTCAGATCACTGCAGGCCAGGCGTGGTGGCTCACACCTGTAATCCAAGCACTTTGGAGGCCAAGGCAGGCGGATCACCTGAGGTCGGGAGTTCAAGATCAGATCACTGCAAACTCCACCTCCCAGATTCGAGAGATTCTCCTGCCTCAGCCTCCTGAGTAGCTGAGTAGCTGGGACTATCGGCATGCGCCACCACGCCCAGCTAATTTTGTTGTATTTTTTAGTAGAGACAGGGTTTTCACCACGTTGGCCAGGATGGTCTCAATCTCCTGACCTCATGGTCCGCCCACTTCGGCCTCCCAAAGCACTGGAATTATAGGCGTGAGCCACTGTGCCTGGCTGACTTTACGATTCTAATTAGACTCCTCAGTCCGTCTCTCCTCTGTGCCTCTTTGTCACATCTCCCTGTGGGGAGAGCCCGGGCCCATGAGCCACCACTGATTTCCTCATCTGTTCTACCTGGCGTATGCGTACAGAGGATTCAGAACCAACCTGCACCCCTCTGAGAAACTAATGCACCCACTGGAGCACGGTTTCTGCAGTTATTTTTGCCTTTAACTTCATAAGCATCTAGTCAAAAGACTACCCAACACACCTCAGGTTGGCTCCCCTCTGTTCTCCCCCTTGTCAGTCTGTAGTCCCTCCTGGGGTCTTGGCACTGGGTGTTTGCCGGTTTTAGGGTATACATGGTGAAGTTTGCTCTCTGTGCTGCACTGCAGAGTTGCGGTCCCCCACCCCAGGGCCATGCTGGGCAACCGTCAGTCCACAGCCTTGGTCCACTGCGTGTCCTGGCCTTGGGCACTTTGGTGCTGACTCATGTGTCAGTGCCAGGGTGGTGAGGCCCTTCCCCAGCTGAGGCTCCCGACCTGATGGTCCAAGCTCACGGCACCTGCTCTCTAGAAACATGGCCTTGCCTTCCTTCCACCACAGGGGCTGTGGGAGCTGACGCTTGTCAAGGGGAGTCTCAGTCCTCTTTCCTCTTTGTTTGGCAGTCAGGGCCGGGACCTGAAGCTGTGCCTGTGGGACCTGGCGGAGGGCAGGAATGCTGTCGTGGACTCCGTGTGCTTGGAGAGTGTGGGCTTCTGCCGGAGCAGCATCCTGGTCCAAGGCCAGCCACGCTGGATGCTTGCTGTGCCAGGGAAGGGCAGCGACGAGGTGAGAGCCAGCCCGCCTGAGGCCCCACGTTCTCCAAACAGCTGTGCTCATCCTCTGGACATGGTTAGGAGGCACCTGCGCCCACCCACAGGACCCCATGGAGTGCCCACCTGACAGCAGCTTCAGCAGCCTGGGCCAATGCACAGCTGGCTAGGGCTGGGCCTGTCCCCTTGGGGTGGCCCTGCTGATGAGCTGTCCTCCTAGGGCAGTGGGAAAATCAGGAGGGGTTCCGGGGACGGTGTTTTGGAGGCCTGGGCACCCAGCACGGTTCTGCACATAGAGGAGAGTGGCATGGGAGGGCCAAGCATGAAGGCCCAAGGCCGGCAGGAATGGCAGGGGAGAGACTGCTCAGGTCCTGGGGACCTCAGGCCCAAGTGGGAGGAAGCTCTGGGGCAGCGGGCAGGAGGCAGTGGGAGAGAGACCAAGGCCCTGGTGAAGTCGGGGGCCTGGGGAGAGCTGAGCCAGGGCAGCAGGGAGGATGATGTCTCAGGGCACAGAACCAGGGCTGGGATGGGGTGAGTGCGGGCACAGGGTGGTGATCACAGTCCCCAGGGGAAGGGTGAGCTAGGGAACCCAGGGGATGGAGATGGAAGCCACTGTTAGGTGGAGCTTAGGCCAGAATGATCAGAGGTGTTGGTAACACAGGACTGGCCCACCTGGACAGTGGTGTCCACATCCCCAGGGGCACAGGAGGCGGAGTCTGCTAAGGGAGGGGTGCCCAAGATGTACGGGGAGGGCGACATAGTGGAGGAGGGCGTGGCTGGAGGCTCAGCTCTCAGGGGAGCTAAAGGAAAACCAGAGAAGAGCCCATGAGTGACAACTGTCCCGCCTGGTCGGAGGTGGGGCATGGTGGTCGGAGGTGGGGCATGGTGGTCAGAGGCGGGGCATGGTGGTCGGAGGCCGGGCATGGTGGTCAGAGGCGGGGCATGGGGAACACGTACCGTGGAGTGGGGGGCGCACACATGTGGGGGCTACTGTCCTTGCCGACTGCCAAGTCCTCCCCATTCCCTGTGCCCTGGGAGCCCTTGGGGCTGGCACTGGGCAGGGCAGCCCCCACGCACAGTTGGGCTTGGCCTCTGCCCAAGGAGAGTCGTTCTGTCTTCAGGCAGATCCAGCACATAAATAATGAGATAGGAACAGGAGTTTATTTGTTCATTGCACTGAAATCACCAATTAGGAGCTACATACACTTTTCTTGCCAATCTGCCAAAAACCTGTTACAAGTTGTATTTATGAGAGAAAGAGGGGTATGCTTCCTGCCCGGGGACCCACAGTCTGCAGACCCACAGGAATGCGGCGGGAGTTTAGTCAGCTCTTCCCTTGGCTCGCTGTCCTCCAGGCGCTGGTCTCAGCCACCCCCAGGCCGCCTGTGCTGCCCCCGGCCACACGTCCCCTGTGCTCAAGGCTGTCTAACCCTCCCCCTGGCTTTCAGCTCTCCCCGTGGGGCAGCGTCTGTCTTTTCCGGGGGCAGCCTGTCTAGGGACCTCGCACATCCTGGGAGAACGATTGCTTTCCTCATTCCCACCTGGAATCTGTCAGACTGGGTGGGAGACAGCCTCGCTGGCCTGCATCCAGACAACGCCCAGGGAGCCGCCCTCCCACCCCATTCGGCCGGCTGGGTGGCCACACTTGCCCAAACCTAACATTTTTCCTTCTGGAAACAAAAGTTGCAGTCAGGTGCCAGGCAGAAAGCTCATGGTGATTGTAGCAGGCTCCAAGGACAGGCGCAGGCAGGGGCGGCCCCAAGATGAAGACCCAGGCCAGGTGGACGTGGGGTGTACCCCTGGTGCTCAGGCCCAGGGCTCACCACTCCCCGGCACCCAGGATGTGGTTCAAGACGCCGCCACTCCCGCTCCCTCCTGCAGTGCCCATCGTGGGGCATCAGGGCTCCCTGGGTTCTGCCCTCACTGTGCCCCCCCATCTTATGCCCCTCCCCTCACTGGACTGCTCGAGTCCTTTGCCCTTGATGCCCCCTCACTGTCCCCAGAGGGGTCTTCTTAAGCCCAAATTGAGATAGACCCTCCCTGGCTGGGGACTGTGTATGGTCCTGTAGGCTGTGTAGCCAGCGCCTGCCTCCACCGCAACCCTCCCCACCCGACAGGAGCACAGGTGTGCTCAGGGCGGCTCCTCCTGTCCCTGGCTTAAGTCCCCCACCTCCTTGCCCCCTTAACCGCTGGAACTAGCCCATCCTCCTGATATAGCGACAAGAGGAACAGATCTTATTTTAAGAAATCTGGCACAGAGGCATGCAAAAAGCAGGAAATCATAGTTCCAGCTACTCAGGAGGCCGAGGCGGGAGGAACCCAGGAGTTTGAGATAAGCCTGGGCAACACAGCGAGACCCCATCTCTAAAAAGTTAGCTGGGCACGGTGGCCACACAGCTGTAGTCCCAGCTATTGGGGAGGCTCAGGTGGGAGGGTTACTTGAGCCCACGAGTTCAAGGCTTCATTGAGCCGTAATGGTACCAGCCTGGGTGACAGAGTGAGACTCTGACTTTAAAACAAAACAAAACATCTCAATTTCATGTGGGGAAAACAGGTGGTGAAATGGGAAAAGTTCACTGATCCCCCTCACAGGGCATGTGATGGGGAGTGGCTCGATGCTTCAGTGCCCTGCTGCTCAGACCTCTAGGGGAGCATACAGACAGGCAGGCCGTAGGGCTCCGACCCCACAGCAGTGTCTGGGGGTGGATGTTTACAGCTGAAGCCCCAGTGGGCGTGTGTTATAGGGTGCGTTTTTATTTTAGCTGTCCGTAGGTGGCTTGTGTTAGTCAGCTCAATTAGACCCTTGCCTTGTCTCAAGGACAGAGGGCTTTTGGTATCCTGGGTTCTTGCCTTGGTGTACCAGAAGAATCGGATCACATATGGGCTTGGAGAATGAGTGCAAGGTTTTATTGAGTGGAAGTAGCTCTCAGCAGATGGGGGAGCCAGCAGGGAGGTGGTTTTCCCCTGGAGTCGGGCTGCTTGGTGGCCCGGGCTCTCCTGTGACTGCCCGGCCAAACGCCACCTACTTCCGCTAGTCGGCAGCCTGTGGCATGCCGCCTGTCCGTGTGCTCTTCCTTTCAATGTCCTTTCAACGTCCATCCACTTGTGTCGCCTGCTAGGGTCTTGGAGTTTTGGTAGGCACAGGATGGGGGCGTGGCAGGCCAGGGTGGTCTTGGGAAATGCAGCATTTGGGCGTGAATGCAGGAGCGCCCGTCCTCACCTAGGTCTGTGGGCACAGGCCCCGGCGGTGGAGCCCTTGCAAGGGGACTTCCCTTCCCAGCACTTCCCTGCCCCTCTCCCATATCATTTGGAAATGTGGGGAGTGAGCCACAGTGTGATCCACACCCTCCTGAACCCTCTGCACAGCCTGGACGTGGCTGCCACAGACCCTTCCTGAAAACAGCAAAGGGACAATGGTGGCGACGCCCGAAAACAGCTTGCTGCTGCTCCCTTAACTGGGATTGCGGAGGGGGCACATAGGTCATAGCTCCGGTAGCACCTGCAGGCCGCCCCAGTGCCTGTAGCTCTTCATGCTGTGGCCACCCTGATCCCAAGAGGAGAAACGCTGTCCCGGAGTTGCTGTTACTTGCAGAAGACAAAGAATGGCTAAGCCCGCCCTGCTTCTCCTGGGCTCTTCTCCACGTTCTTCTGTGCCAGGCTCAGAGGTGCCTTGGCTTGGTTTTCGGATGTCCTTGTTCCTGTATTTCCGTGTTGCTAGAGCTTCTCCTTGGGCCATTTTTCCATAAGGAATCCTTGGTGTCCACTCCTGCTTACCATTTTGGCCATCTTTGGAGTTCAGGCTTGACCACCTTCCCCAGAGCTCGCCGTCACTGAGCCTCATGGTTCCTGACTGTGACCACCTCTCCCGTGACTGAGTTCTTTTCTGCCCCCTTCATTGTGTTGCTCTGTTTGTTCCCCAGGGGCCTCTTCTGTCAGATGCTTGGCTCGCCCTGAGGCCTCTGTTTTCTGGGCTTGATGGGCAGGAGCCTCTTTGTGTGTGCAGGTGGGTCTGTGTTACCCATGCATGTGTGTGTGTATGTGTGTGTGTGTGTGTGTGTGCATTTGTGTGGGTCCTTGATCTGTGAGCCATCCTGGTGCTGAGTGGGGCAGAAGTCCTGCTGTCAGAGGCTGAGCTGCTCTGGGGGACCCTGGCGAGAGCAGCCTGCCCAGGAAACGCCATGGTCCTGGCACATGTACTGGAGGTGGGCACCTCAGCAGGACTCTCTAGCTGGGAGGACCAGGCTGTGGGCCCAGCTCTCTGGCCTGCCCGGAGGTGACCTCAGCACAGCCCCAGCTGTGGCAGATCTGGGATTCAGACTTGGGGTCCCAGGCCTGTACTGTGTGGGATAGTGAGGGCAGCAAGCTTCTCACCCACACAGGCACAGGTCTCTAAGACATGGTCACCCTGTCTTGCTCAGGAGAATAGAGGGGCCAGAGGCCACTGGACCAGCTGGTATGAGTTCTGCCTACTCAGAGCCCCCAGCCTCTGGGCCTCGGACTCCTTGTGTGTAAACTGGGTGATGCCCCAGGTATGCCAGGCTCTGTCCAAGGTGGCTGTGCACTGATGTTATTGCCATGTTACCAGTAGCTCATTCCAAGTTGTTCCTATGTAAAACCTGCACCAGGAAGGAGAAGCAGGCAGAGCAGAGAGAATCGGTGGGCTCTGTCTGGGGCCGGTGAGCTGCTCTCGCCCGCACCTAGGGAAGTTCAGGGCTGGCTGAGCCTCCCCAGTTCCCACAGCGAGGGCAGAGGGTGCAGGCGGACCTGGCTTCCAGCAGAACCACCTGGCAGAATCTGGTGCTTGTGGCCTTGGCCATCCCCTGGCCTGGCTGTTCAGGAGATGGGTGACCAGCGAGCCAGCAGCCCGCAAGCCAGCCTGGCATATCTCCCAGCCCAGGTAGGAGGCCCTGGCCTGTGTTCAGGGGACCCAGAGTACAGCCTCAATGCACGGGCACACAGTGTGCTGGGGGACCCAGGTTTCCAGGAGCTGACCTCGGAGGATGCACATCACATTCATTTCTCAAGTGGGGGTGCTCCTGGGTGAGTCTTAGAACCATGGCTGTGCTGAGATCACTCATAGTGGTTCATATGTAAAGGAGAGAGAATTGATGGGCTGTGTCGGGCCAGTAAGCCGGACTCCTGCTCTGCCTGCACGGTCATGTTGGGAGAAGCTGGGGCAGCTACCGGGCAGTGACCTGAGAACGGTACGAGCATATTGCAAGGACCTGTGCAGCCTAATTAGGAGCCTGTGCTCCCAGGTGCCCACGGGGGGCGGGGGGAGCAGACAGAAACTCGAGGCAGCCCTCGCTAATCGCCTTAAGAGTCTCTTGTTTGTATAGTGCAGACTCGACTTGGCGTCGGCCCAAATCAACTTGTTTTCTTACTGTCAGGTCCAGATTCTGGAGATGCCATCCAAGACGTCAGTGTGCACCCTGAAGCCGGAGGCAGATGCCAAGCTGGGCATGCCCATGTGCCTGCGGCTGTGGCAGGTAAGGCCCCACGTGCACCAGCCACACCCTGCTGGCCACGCCCATGGCCATGAGTCATGCCCCATTCAGGAACTGATTTATCGTCAAGCAGCTTGGGCAACCTCCCCCCACCCCCACCCCCGCCAGGGAACACGTGCAGCCACCTCAGCGTCCCCACGGCCCTCTGCTTCCTGCTGCCGCAAGGGGCCTATCACTGCCCCAGGAGAGACCTGGCTTCAGCCAGCAGCAGTGGCAGCAGGTGCTCGTCATTTGCAGGCTCCGGTGGGCTCACCCGCAGCTGGTGGTGCCCTCCAACACGAGGTGAGGAGGGGACAGTGGGGTCTGCCAGCACCTCAGTACTTGGTCCCTGCTGAGGGTAGGGCGGGCCAGGCTGACTAACGGCAGCAAGCCTGCACAGCCCCTGCTTCGCTTGGGATTAATTTTTGTTACTTCTTTGCCTCTTAGAGGCAGGAGTGGACTTAACACCATGACATTCCCTGCAGCCGCACGTGGAATTTCAAGGTCCACGAATACTTCCTTCCTTCTCAGCTGTTCTTTGTGGTTAGACAGGGTCGGGAGGCCTCAGCCCGGGTCCAGTTTGGGGTTGCTGGGGAGGGACTCAGCTGCCTCCATGGAGCCGACCGCCACTCACCTCCTCACGGGAGCCCCACTGGACCAGCTGTCCTTGGGGCTGCTCATATCCGGAGCAGCAGAGCAAGTGGTCCTGTGTGTTCACTTGCAAAGAGCCCCTTAGCCCTGAGCTGCCCCGGAAGCCCATAGTAGGGGTCATTGGCAGCACTCTTCCCAGGGCCCTAGGCCATGCCGGGTACCCTCCTGTTCTGTTTGGTTCTGAGACCCGCCCCAGGCTGCGCCTTTACCGGGAGGTGCCTCTGGCTCGCTGCCTTTGACTTCCTCACGAGAGTGAGACTGGACAGGCCTGTGCAGTTTGTGGACATCTGCGTGCCCCGCAAGACCCATCAGGACGGGCATCTCCAGACATTTCTCTCCCTCCACATGACGCCCCTTATTGCAGTCAGCTTCCCCCTGTAGTTTCTTGACTGAAAAGTTTCAGCTTGGAATTTGGGGTCTCCTGTGGGCTGATCCTGTGGTGCTGCTTCGGTGGCTGTGGCTTTTTGGGGAGAAGCCCTCGGCGGGAGGGGTGGTGGCTTCCTCAAGGCCCACCTGAGATGATGAAACCCTTGGCGCCAGCAGGTTCACAGCTGGGCCACAGGGACTGCAGCGGAGCCTGGGTGTCAGCCTCCCTGTGCCTAGACAAGTCTCCTCCAAGGGCTTGACGGGGTCTGCTGGGAGGAAAAATGCCCCCCAAGGCTGCAACCCCACAGGCAGTGGGCAGGGTTTCCAGGTCCTGGGGGAGGGTGTCCGAGGCTGCACCGCTCCGGTTCCGCCCCCCTGGGAAACATGGGTCATTGCACAATCATGTAAAATTCCAACGGAAAAATGCACAGAAAGGGATGTACAAACTTGTTAAGGTAATTAATGTAGTTGACACAGGACAAATCGCATTTCTGTTGGTGATGGAGATCCAGCGTGAAGCATTCCGCTAAGGAAAGCTGATGTTAACGCCACACGTTCCCTTTTCCATCCCCAAGCCTGAGGGGTGGGTTGTAATTTATCAGTCTGATTGTGGCACAGTGGCCTGACTTGCTATTTTTTTTTTTTTTTTTCTGAAACACTGAGGGTTTTCTTTTTAGTTTGGTTTTTTTGGCAATCAGATTTTTAATTTTTTTAATTTTTAATCTTTAATTTGGTATATTCTTATTTTGCTCCTTAAAACAGCTGACCTGCAACATAAGAATAATTGTTATTAATATATAAAAGGTCAGGGCCTACGTCAAGCCTGAGGCAGTCACTGGCACAGCCCTCAGAGCAAGGGCCCATCCAGCCAGCCCTGCCTGAGCTGCAGAATGGTACATTGAAGGCTTCCCGCGGCCCCCAACCTGCTGTGTCCCTCTGGGGCTGCCAGTCAATGGGAGGGGTACAGAGTGAGGCCTGGCCTCCAGGCCTCATCTGTGGGCAGGGAGGGGGCAGTGAAGAGCAGATCTGGGGGACTTCAGACCCTCTCTGTGCAGAGGTCGGTCAGCACCAAGGCTATGGGCACCAAAGTGCCCCAGCCACAAGAGAACTGCCCAGCCTGTGGTGTCTGTCACTGGGGGCATAGCAGGGGCTGGCAACCACAGGGCAAGCCCCTCCAGGCCAGGCTGGCTTCTGCTCTGGCCACCCTGTGGCACCATGACAGACAGGTCAGTCTCACACACAGTCCCTGCATTGGCCGTGGCATCTGAACTCAGAGGTGGTGGCTTCACACAGGCGCGACACTCTGAGACTGCCGGAAGGATGTCAGTGACGGGATCAGCCCCAGGGGGTCTCAGCTCCAGCAGTGGAGGAGGGTGCTGGGGAGGAGGGTGTCGTAGGCTGGAAACAGGCGCCGCAGAGCACTGCCTGAGGGGAGCGGGTCCAAGGAGGAGAGTCTCTGGAGTCAGCCTCTGGGGCTGGCCTGCATTCCTGGTTGGGATGCAGACTGTTCCCAGCTGCCCTTGCCTGGCCCTCACCCACTATGAGTCCAGACACACCGCCCACCACAGGGAGGGAGCCAGGGAGCCAGGACTGCCTAGGAGGAGCTGCGGTGCAGAGGGCGTGGCACGTGGCACCACGTCCGGGAGGAAAATACTGTGGGTCGTTGCACACCTCGTTTCCCAGCAGGTGATCTGAAAGGTGCCAACATGGAGCTCCTCCCAGGAATGAAACAGCACATGCAGCAGCATGGCCGGGGCTTCTGCAGGGACGGGCAGGGCACTGAGTACAGTGGCAAGCCTGGGGCAGCTCTGCCTCCCAGGGACAATGTGGGCTCTGGCAGTGGGGGATGACTTGGAACAAGGCCTGGGAGGAGGTGCCCTGGGAGGAGGCCCACTGACCGCCACGCCTCCTCCCAGGAGTCTCACTCTTTTCAGCTTCATCTGTGTGAACTCTTATCAGAACCCAGTGGTTTTACAAGCCTTTTTCAGGGACGTGTGCGAGGACCACTGGACCAGCTCTGGCCTCGGGTTCACATGCCCACATCCTGCAGGGCACAGTGAGTGTCCTTCCGTTCCCAGCATGGCCATTCCCTCCAGGTCAGGGCAGTTGGCCTCGGGCTCCGGGCCTGGCTCCCCCAGTTCGCTTCACCAGCCTTCTGATGCAGAGAGCCCTGGTCCTTGTGCTGTTTGAGGACTCAGTATCCTCTTGTCAGGCACAGGCCCTGGTGCCTTCTGGCTCCCCCAGGTCTCCTTGCTCAGCCATGCCAGGTTTCTCTGGGCTGTCATTCTCGGTGCCGGGGACTGATGGCTGTGTCCCCAGAGTGATGCGGAATCTTAAAGCGTTCCCCTCCTGTAATTATTTCAGAGGCTTAACAAACGAGGCGTCTGCCCAGGGCTGGGAGCCCTCTGACCTGCGCCCTCATTCATCATGAGAGCTCGGGCGGCTTGCGCCTGGCTTCAGGGGCGGGGGGCTTTGGCAGCCACATTGACAAAGCACAGAGAGTTCATTTTTCATGGAGATGGAGCTCGCGGTTTCTTCTGGCTGGCGGCTCTAGGCAGGTGACCAGCCAGTCCCAGTGACCAGTGGCCACGTCTTAGGGTCGGGGAAAGGAGGCAGGAGGACGGGTCCCTGTGCATGGGAGAGGTGGAAAAGGTTGGCCCCACTGACAGTGGCTGGTGGATGCCCAGTGTCACCCCTTTGGGCAGGACCCCAGGGTGGTCACATGCAGGTTGCAGGGCTGGTGAGAAGTGGCACAGCAGTGGGGGGCCTTGGGCTTGGCTCTGTGCCCTCTGCCCCCATGTCCTCAGGATGCCCTAAGGGCAGCTGTGCCAGTCCCATGCTGACGGCATCAGTCATCCAGGGGCTGTGAGGGAGGGCACTGGCGGTGCAGAGCTTCTGAGCTGTGGCAGCCATGTAGACTTGGGAAACAGCCCCAGCCAGCGGGAGAGGCAGCAGATCTTCAGAGCCCCTTCTCCCCTAAAACTAACTGGAGTCAGGGTTCTTCCAGGAGCTGACTGCTCTGCTGTTCCCCGCAGGCAGACTGCAGCCCCCGCCCACTCCTTCTGGTCGGCTACGAGGATGGATCGGTGGCCCTGTGGGATGTCTCTGAGCAGAAGGTGTGCAGCCGCATTGCCTGCCACGAGGAGCCCGTCATGGACCTTGACTTTGACTCCCAGAAGGCCAAGGGCATCTCAGGCTCTGCTGGGAAGGCGCTGGCTGTCTGGAGCCTGGACGGGCAGCAGGCCCTGCAGGTCAGTGCGCCAGGCCCTGGGCCTCATTTATCCTGCTCTGCACTAACAGTCTGATAGGCTGAAACAATATTTAGGCATGAAGAGGAGTTGTTGCAGATCCCTGGCTAATTAATCACTAGGAGGCGGGTGCAGGGGAGCTGTCCATGGCTGGCGCAGGAAGAAGGGGGCGTGGGCGCTGGCAGCCCGTTCACATGGTTTGGGTTTCACCTAGACCTCGGGTTCACGCAGTCACATCTTGTCCATCTAGAGAAAGGCACGCAGAGTACAGGAATACTCAAACCCCTTTATGAAAACTCAGAGGAATTTGGTCAGTAAGGAACTGATTAATCAAAAAAAAAAAAACCCAAAAACCAGTGTGCAAAACTTCGAGGAGCTGCGGCCCCCACCCGCCGTGGTGGTCTGGAGTTGGCCCGAGGGAGGCCATTGCTCACGGGCAGCGGGAAAGCTCAGCAGGAAAGCAGGGAGGCCTCAGGGCTGCCTGGCAGTTGCTGAAGATCTTCCCACAGTGTCTCTTGGGCTCTCTTGGCTGGCATGGCTCAGGGGGCACCATGGTGTCCTCGTCTGGGTCTGTGGCTCCAGGGCTCAGTGCAGGGTGGACTGGCATACACACGTGGCCCTGTTTGGGATGAGAGGGATTGGGTCAGGCTGGTGGGGGCAGGGGAGCCTCCTGTCCAGGTCTTGCTCTGGTGCAGGTCTCGGGGCTGCAGAGACCACGGGGGATGAGGTACTGGGTGTGGCCTGGGTACATCCTGGCTTCTGGGGGGTTGACAAGGAGCCCCCATTCACCAGAAGTCTTGGAAGCCCGAGACTTACCCACAACTAGCGCCTGGTCTGATTGCCAGTCTAGTGGGTGAAGGGCCTCTAGGAGGAGCTGTGTGTCCCGTGGGGTGGCTACTGCAGTTCCCAGCCTCACCAAGGACAGGGCTCGGGGCTGCCCTTCCCTGTGGGGCTGTGGTCCAAGCTGTCTCTACAATGGGAGGCCACAGGGAGGACATCCATCGGGCCCCCTCGGCAGGACAGCCCTGCCAGCAGCCCCGTGGGGCAGGGAGGGCTCACCTTGGGTCCATCAGGCCCACCCCTGAGTGGGCACCACCAGCGTCTTTGAGGCACATGGTAGGGCTGCAGAATGATGAGCCCTGGTGAGACCAGGATATGAGCGGCCCCAGTGCCCTGTGGGCATGACCAGGCCTGTGCAGACACATGGCGGACTTGCAGGAGAGCTGTGTCCATCCATCGTCCATCCATCAGCTGTCCTGCTCATGCCTCCCCAGGAGAAAGGGTCTCCCAAGGCCTAGTGGGCTGGGTGTGTGTGGGTATGAGTCATCATCATGCCCATTCTTAGCAGCTACAGGCTGAGCTCCTCTGGGCGCTGGGAGGCTGAGCTCTGGGCGCTGGGTCTGCATGTCTGGAAGGTGCATCTCCCTCACACTCCCTCCCTACTCCTCAAGCCTGGCAGGGACCCTGCAGGGCTGCCCCCCCCCCCGGGGTCCGGTGTTCACTTGGCACTGGCTTGCCCCTTACCAGCCTGACAGCAAAGGGCTGAAGACCCAAGCAGCTTCCCTGAGAGCCCCCGGAGGGCTCTTCCCTGCAGTCCCCATCCCGGACTCTCTGCGCCAGGACCCCAGGAAGGGGCCCTCCTGCCGTAGTGGCCCAGATCTGCCTGGTGCGTCCTGGAGTGTTTGGGAAGCAGCTGCTGGAGCTTAAGACTGTAATTCATGGGTCACATTCCAGTCCAGAGATGAACTTGACTGGATTGATGAATTGAAGAGTTAAAGCAAAAGGGGGACCAGGTATTAATGAATTGAAAAGTGAGAGCGGAAGGGAGAACCAGGAACTGGATGTGGTTGATGTGGTGGCGTGGCTGTGGCGTGCTGGGCAGGGCGTTGGCCCATGGTGCACATGAAAGGAGAATCGCTTCCCCTGCTGAGCCGTTGTGTGGGCCAGGAGGAGGAGGCCTGGGAAGGGGACAGGCGACCCCAGGGGAGCTGGAGAGGCTGATGCACCACCCTCTGCCCAATGTCACGTCTAACGTCCACCCTAGCAGCCCTGGAGATTGCAGGTTCTGTAAAGCCAGGGTCTCAGGGAAAGCATCTGGGGTGCTTTCAGAGGTGAACTGCCTAAGAGCATTCTTACCGCCCAGGAGAAAGCAAGGTGACCGAAGGTCCTTGGCACCCACAGGTGTCCTCACCCATCGCCCCCACTGTGACTCCCTGGCTGAGAACCACGTGGACATGGCTGTGTGTCCCTCGTGTCCCCCTGCCGAAGCCTCTGATGAGCCCAGATCAGTCTCCCCCCGGCGGGAGCTGGGAGCGGAGACGCGGATGAGGTTCCCGGAGCAGAGCGTTGGTAATCAGAACCAGATGGTGGCCTGGCCATGCCGCGCATTCCTGGCACCTGAGGTCATGTGCTACGAGAGCCACTGGTGGCCAGAGATCCTTCCTGGAAGGCCCAGGTCCAGGCTGGGGCTTGGCCAGGGGCCACGGTGGTGATGAGGAGGCTGCCCACGTCAGGATGCCACCTGAGCCTGCCTTGCTGAGGTGGCTTTCCTGCAAGCCGTCACAATTAGAGCCTGTATTGTCATAAGATACAGGTGGTACGCAGGCCCTCGCCTCCCTCCCACATTTGGGATAGCGCCCACAGCCTTGAAGCGGGGACTGATTTACAGCCAGCCGTATTTTTAGGCCTTTAAGTAATAATGAGGCTTCCCCACCCCAGGCAGCCCTGGCCTGGGAAGTGGACCAACTATGGCTCTCCCATGAGACATAGCCAGGTGTCCAAGCTGCACTCCCATCTGCACAGCAGTGGTGGCTGCTGCCCCCGTCTGCCAGAGGCTTCCCTTGAGAGGAGCAGCAGCAGAGCCGCCGGGCAGCCAGGAGGGAGGCTGAAGGGGCCCCGGGCTAGCTCCCCATGTATGGCATCAGGAGGAAAGGCTTGTGCAGGGCACGGGCACAGTTCCACCCGCCATCAGGAGCACAGTAGTGCAGGCCCCTGGCTGCTGTCACCAGGCCCAGGACCGGTCCTCCTCTTCTTCAGGAGCACAGGGCTGGAGCAGGCCCTAGTCTTTCTCCAGGAAGCCCCACCAGGCTTCCCGCATTGCCCTCATTTCCTGCGGAGCCCGGTCCTCACGCCTGGTTGTCTTTACCTCCGTGCTGTCCCCGCTGTCTGAGAATGGCTGAGCTGGGCGTAGGGTCACTCCTGTCCCTACGGGCAGTGGCCAGCAGGCTGGTGGGTAGGCACAGCCAGGCTGCGGGGCGGGAGCTAGACAGGAGAAGCTGGGCACTCAGCCCCACACAGGTGAAGACACTGCACCCACCTTCTGCCTGTGAAGACCCCTGTTCGGGCTCTCTATGGAAACCTTCCCACGTGCCTGTGGCTCTAGGCGCTCAGCAGCTCTTTTCTCCCTGGGAAGGACCTGCTGGCAAATTCCTATCAAGAGGGCCCGGAGCAGGCCCCAGTGGCTTCCAGGGAGGCCCATGGTGTGTGGCTGTGCGTCCCCTCTCTACCACTGACTCAGGGCAGAGGTCACAGGAGAGAAATGGGTGGCAGTGATAAGGGTGTCACGTCAGCCTCCTGTTCTTCCCAGCTGCCATTCCCTCCATGGGCCATGGTGTTCTGGTTCCTGAGAGCTGGGGAGGGGCTCCTGGGTCTGCAGGCACAGGTGTCCCCACACGCATGACATGTGCATCCCAGCATCCCCCAAGGCCCTGTGCAGTGGGTGCTGGCCTTGATGGCCCCTCGGCCAGGTCACAGGGAGCCAAGTGGGGACGCAGGAGCTGGTGTGGAGGGAGAGAAGGCAGCCCGAGGCTGGGTGCTCTGCACACTGAGGCCAGCCTGGGCTTGTGGTCACCAACCAATGGCTGTGTATTGTGCTGCAGCACGTTCAGCTGCTTGTGTGCACAGGCAGGGCACCCCCGAGACCCCCAGAGCCAAGGTCTGCCAGGCGAGAGAGGTAGAGGACAGGCAGAGCATCTGGGACGTGCTGGGGCAGTGCTGGTCGCAGCAGAGGGGGTCAGGGCTGCAGGCCTTGGTAAGTCCATGAACCAGGGGCCCTGGGCCCTGGAGAGGCCCTTGGAAGGGCAGGAGGATGGGCTGGTAGGGGTTGGCTTTGAGCGACAAGTTGGTGTTGAGGTAGGAGGGCAAGGTGGCTGAGAGGGCATGGCAAGTGCCAACCTCAGTGGCCAGGAGCCTAGAGCAGCCTGGGGGGTGCAGGCAGTGGCTCCTGGGCCTGGGTCAGGGCTGCGCTGGCTGTGGGTTGTCTGGTGGCATCTCCTCACCAGGCAAGGCTCCTCCTGCCCCTCCTGGGGAAAGAATCTGGGTCTTGAATGGGTGCCCGATGTCACCAGATGCTCTCACTGCGTCTCTCTGACTCGCAGGTTTTCTTCTCGAGTCTGTTCATTGCCTTGTTGGCATTTTCTTAAACCTTAGAAGAGCTAAAATCCTCAGTCTGTCCCTGGGTCTCAGGGAAAAGTCCTGAAATCACGCACTGCGTGACATGTGCTCCTCTCACTCTGCTGGGCTGGGCCGCAACTGCCCAGGGCCACAGACTTACCTGGGCATCCCTCTCCCGCTGCCCGCCTAGTGACAGGAGCCCCAGACTTGGGGGGTTGGTGGGGAGCATCCCCTCTTCTCCCGGTGGATGGACATGTTTGGGCGGTGGAGGTGAGGGGTCGTGGGTGACTGTAGGTTGGTCTTCACCTGCACCATTACTCAGGCAGTTATTTTTTCTGCCTGAGTCGTTTTCTTTGTGGACTAATTTAAGTTTCTTGATTTGGGGAATTTTTCTAGGAATTTGTCTATGGGCATACAAATCCTCAAGGTTATATTCCTAGTGACCTTTTTTGGACCGCTTGTGATGATTGTTTAAATTTCTGCCACATTCAAAGCTCTGTCCCTGCTTTATTTATTCATCAGTCTTGTCTGTGTTCGTCCTTGAGCATTTCTGTCTTCCTGTTCATCGTTTCTGGCCTTGCCATGCTCTCCTCCGACCCATGTCCCCTGGG